TTATGACTCAAAAGCAGGGACGAAGGTAAATTTGAAAGAAGATTAAGAGAAAATGTTTACAGGCCATTACAAGTTCTTAAGTTAATAGTAAATAAGGAATTGATTGCTCAAGTTGAAGAAAGCGGTAAACAAGAGATTGCATTTACATGCAGATGTCTAAAATTTGTATTTTTTTAAGTCTATGCACAAAAGTCATTTGTTTTATTGCTTGACATTCAGTTATGGCTAGATTATTTAACCTATTTTTTTTTTTTTGTACTTTGGAAACAATATTGTTAAAGGTGCCATAAAAATGGACAACATTGAAAACGGTTTGCAAATAAACCACCTAACACTGCAGTTCTTTATACATATTAAAAGCCTTGTCTGGGGTTTGTCGTATGTTAAATATGTTTAAACTGGGAAAATATGTTGTAGCTTGAAGCCTCCCATTGGCCCAAACATCCAATACAAAAACACATCTCCACAAAAGGAGCGGCAGACAATACAGGTACATTTAAAGAAGCAGCCAGCTAATGTCCTAACGTTTAAAAATTTACCACTGTTCAATATGAGATTTGAAACCATTGTGGATAAGAGTATTTTGGATTCAGAAAGATGTGTACAGTACATACGGATTTTTTGTGTGTGTGTGAAATCATATTCACTATATTGCTCAAGAATTCACTGCATTACATATGCAATCCGTTCAAAGATAATCAAGTTTCTAGGAAGAGTACTCATCCACATGAAAGTAATAATGAATGAGAAAGGAATCACACGAACACCGGAGAGAATCGCGTCGTTCTCAGAGAACAAAGTAACGGCATGTGCAGCATGTCAAAGCTAATAGCAAGCTACCTTCCGTTTTTAGAAGCATAGAAGAAAAGGAAGTGTGGTACTACCCATGTGGCAAAGCACACTCATTGTAGACAGCCAACACACATTCTCTAGGCATCAATTTAAAAGTCATATTCACTTTCTCAATACAAGACTCTATGTTATGATGCATCACTGAAAAAAGTCGCTTCTATTTGGATGGAACATTCTGTCATTCATTTGTAACTAAATAAATGATTGAATGCATTTATTGCTCTAAGTTCTGAGGGTCTGGTTGAACAAACAATGGCTCCTTGGTATGAAGTCAGGCTTCTGGATTATTTAGAAAATGATGCTGAGAGCCTGACATAACCGATCTCACACAAACAAGCAGACCCACAAGTGGAATCAACTGCTTAGTGGCGTAAAAATAAATGGCAGTAGGAGGGTCTCTCTAATCAAACCCAGTGGAACCTCTTCATAATACTCTTTCTAATACTAGTGTTTAGGGACAGATAAAGACCTGTACTGTAGCTTTTAACAATAGATCAAGATACACTTTTGCAATTGCATTTCTGGGCACATCATTTGATAAATAGATTGTTTTCATGGGGTTTTGTATTGTAAGTGCCAGTGACATGTTATAATACGTAAAAATGTCATAGCTTGTATGTAGATATAGAGAGAGAATGAATGTGGCCATCTCTCATATTCTTTATTAGCAAATGATAAGGTAAAGATATCCTTTTGATCTGATAGACATGGAAAGTCTTCCCAAATTATGCTGCTCTTTGAGTAAGAAAATATGTAAATTTTTCTAAATGTGTGTTCCAGAGGAGGAAGAACCAGCGCCGCTAATTCCACTGAGCTTCTCTGGCTTCATGGACAGTGATATACAAGAATATAGGAACAAAATTGTATTTCAAAATTGTAATGTGAGACCCTAAAAGCTGGCTCAAGTTGGTGTCTAGATGTAGGTTTTGTTGTCTTTAAACACTACTCTTGTATTAATTCAGCAGATATAAATGACAGATGTAGAAGAATTTTTACATAAAGAGATTTTGGGTTTGCTTCTGAAAGAGGATTCAGTGAAAACAACAGCTACTTGTTGGCATTTATAAAAACATGTTTCAGCTTTTTACCTATCTCACTGTGCAGACCTCTCACCACTGGCTTTTAAAAGTTTTATCCTTAATATGTAGAACTTAAAATATTTTTTCACATATAATGATATATATATATATATATATATATATATATATATATAGTATACATAGTGAGTATTTTTAAAAATTTATTCTTTTATTTATCTATTTATTTGTTGTGATTTTCAGGCCACCAGGTCTGGGATTCAAGCTACGGTCAGCCATGTGGGAATCCAGTGCCTTACCCACCATGCCACCTGCTGGTCTATAGTGATTATTTTAATGATTAGAGAAATGGTAGACAATATGCAAGGACTGCACTTTGAATGATGCTTTTTGTTGGTGTATTACCTATTTCTGTTTGAACACACTGGCATAACTTTGCACTACTTTGGACGTTATTTAATGCCTTTGAGCACACCAGATCAAAGCACGAGCTCAACCAAAGGAGACAGTGAAGAGTTTACACACACATACACACGCACTTCTATACAGTTCATTTGTGCCTTGGAGGGATAGTATTATTAGCATTATTATGAATAAAAAACACAATTTGTCCCAGTAGTACTGGCCACCCTGTTTTAAGAGTTTTAGAAGATTCCCTGAGCACATGGTTTCTGACTCAACCCCAACTCCAAAATGATAGGGCTTCTATCGTTGATATCAAGATGGATTGTCATTCACAGTAAATCAATCATAAGGTGCTTATTTACCCTTTTCTTTTTTTCCCCAATCAGCACAAAGAACTGTCAGAAAATAACTTTTTATTATCTTAAAATAATAGCACTGGAAGGACACATGATTTAAACAATCAATGTTTGACACAGTGGCTTTAGGATTATTATCTGGCTGCCCCTCAACAATAACGAGTGATTCGATCGACATTCCTTAGCCAAAAACAAAAGGCAAAAACAAAACAAACAAACAAAAAGAAAACAAAACTGAAAAAGAAACAAAAACCTGTACAAATATGTATTTTTCCCTGAGGGATCAAGGTACACCCGTGGGTGTTCTATGTACATATTGCACTAGAGAGGAATGAAGAACGTGTGCAAAAAAGCAACGATGAGAGAAGCCTACGTCCTACTTAAACCTTCCGTTAAAGTCCTACTAGGTTGCTTTGCATCTTGGAATGTCGGAACACAAACAACTAGCTAGTCCTTAGTCTACAAATATATAGTATACATAGTGAGTATTTTTAAAAATTTATTCTTTTATTTATCTATTTATTTGTTGTGATTTTCAGGCCACCAGGTCTGGGATTCAAGCTACGGTCAGCCATGTGGGAATCCAGTGCCTTACCCACCATGCCACCTGCTGGTCTATAGTGATTATTTTAATGATTAGAGAAATGGTAGACAATATGCAAGGACTGCACTTTGAATGATGCTTTTTGTTGGTGTATTACCTATTTCTGTTTGAACACACTGGCATAACTTTGCACTACTTTGGACGTTATTTAATGCCTTTGAGCACACCAGATCAAAGCACGAGCTCAACCAAAGGAGACAGTGAAGAGTTTACACACACATACACACGCACTTCTATACAGTTCATTTGTGCCTTGGAGGGATAGTATTATTAGCATTATTATGAATAAAAAACACAATTTGTCCCAGTAGTACTGGCCACCCTGTTTTAAGAGTTTTAGAAGATTCCCTGAGCACATGGTTTCTGACTCAACCCCAACTCCAAAATGATAGGGCTTCTATCGTTGATATCAAGATGGATTGTCATTCACAGTAAATCAATCATAAGGTGCTTATTTACCCTTTTCTTTTTTTCCCCAATCAGCACAAAGAACTGTCAGAAAATAACTTTTTATTATCTTAAAATAATAGCACTGGAAGGACACATGATTTAAACAATCAATGTTTGACACAGTGGCTTTAGGATTATTATCTGGCTGCCCCTCAACAATAACGAGTGATTCGATCGACATTCCTTAGCCAAAAACAAAAGGCAAAAACAAAACAAACAAACAAAAAGAAAACAAAACTGAAAAAGAAACAAAAACCTGTACAAATATGTATTTTTCCCTGAGGGATCAAGGTACACCCGTGGGTGTTCTATGTACATATTGCACTAGAGAGGAATGAAGAACGTGTGCAAAAAAGCAACGATGAGAGAAGCCTACGTCCTACTTAAACCTTCCGTTAAAGTCCTACTAGGTTGCTTTGCATCTTGGAATGTCGGAACACAAACAACTAGCTAGTCCTTAGTCTACAACTAAAAACACGTATTTCTACTATGGCACATTCAATGAAATAAAAAGTTTTCCAAAGACAGATAGACAAATTCCATCAAGAAAATAATACAAAGTTTGTTTGTTTGTATTTTTTTTTTTAGAAAATTACATTACTTTCTTTCTTTGTTTCACATTACAAAATCTTTTTTTTTTTCTTTACACAAATCACATTTTATTGCAGGAATATTTCAAGTGCCATCAAATATTTATAGAAGGGTTAAAAAAATAGAAGTCTCTCTAAAGTGGTCCAGACAAGGCTTTGTATAGAATAAATCTTTTTTTTTCCATCTTCTAGTTTTGATTTAAGTATTTTGAATACATTTTTTTTTAAATGGACACTTAGTAGCCTAGAAGCGGTCCAACGCACGCACATCACACACACGCAAATCTCGCACACACGCACACGCCTTCCTCACCCGACCCTCAGCCCACCCCCGTACGCTCACAAAGATCAGGATATCCACACTATAAAGAACAACCAAACTTAGAAGCAGTGTCTTAAGTCATGTTTTCCTTTAGATAGGAAGGGTGAATTAGGGATGCTGAAGACTTAAAAAAAAAAAAAAATCCATAGCATGAATGCAAATTAGGATGCTGAACACTTAAAAAAAAACCTCCATAGCTTTAACACAATTTGCAAACTGTTCAAAAAGCACTTTCACTGCACTTTTTGTTTTCATTGTGACCAAGGCCAGATTTTTCACAAATTAATACAACCATTTGGACAATGCTGTAACAAAAGGTATTCAGGCTCTGTGCAGAAGCCTTATTTACCTTATGTAAGGAAAAATAATGCATAGTGGCTGTCTAGCAGCCAAGTTGACAATGATAGGTTCTAATACGTTAAATTTAGGAAACTTTAATGATAAGAACAATTAAGAGCGATTGTTCTGGTAATATCAAGTAGTTTGTGTCATTACACAGGTGTAAGAAAGGAAATTTTAAAATGCAAAGTGTTTTACATCCTCTGTTTCGACTCGGTATTTTTTCTGACTAAATTTGTGGTTGAACTTCAGATCCCAACTTAGATCCAGATACTCAGCGGTTACCTCATTTCACAGAGCTCGCCACTGTCTCTCCTGCTGTGTCCCTACGCTGTTTATGGACTTCGCTCTTAACATGTACGCCTGCTTTTCTTGCAGAAACGCCTAGAAGCAACTATGTGTTACTCTGGCTTGTTCACTATAAAAACAATGTCACCATGGTTTGACGCTTATGGAGATGAGGGTATCTTTTTTTTTTTGCCTCAAGTACATATACGTCATTTCGGGGGAAGAAGAATTTCTTTTAAGTTCAACATGACGGTCTCTCTCACCCTTAGAGAAGTTCAGTTAGCTCTTAGTATTTCACAAATGGACACTGGACTAGGTTTAGTTGCTCTTTAATGCGCTAGCACCTGAGGCTGGTCATATTCAGAAAGCTTTGGTTAAAAAGAAGTTAATACATTTTAATAGACCCACCCCCCAAATTTAGTGAATCTGAGGAACAAAAACAAAACCCCCCAAAAACCACACACATCATTTTTCCCCAAAGGAAAAAAACAACAGAAAAAGAACGGACAAATAAATAACTAAACTAAGCTTGATACTCTCTTCCAAGAATAAAATACTATTGCTCTTTAAGGGACTATGTTTGCTTAAATTAAAAATGGACTTAATCCTTGTCATCCAAATATAAATACTATATGCTGACTGTTAACTTCTCTATATAAACACTCACATAAAATTTTATATGCCTGTAAGAAATTTAAAGAAATATTACTCTTGTCTTCTATTTATGGTTAAATCCTTACTATATTTTTGAAAAAAAAATTTTTTTTGTTTTTGTTTTTTTGGGGATGTTATTTAGGCTTCATACACACTTCTGTGTGAATAATTTCTTCCCATTTTCCAAGTCCTTCAGGAAACAAGTCAGAAAGTCAGTAGAGGCAAAGAGAATGACGTGCTCGGGGAAGCCCATGCTGGTGACTCAGCAGGCCATCAGGAGCTGCAACTGCTGTAGCGCGTTCTGGAGGGACCCTAGTGACAGAAGAGGCCCTTTCTTGGATGTGCAGGGCTGTTGGGGACTGCCACTTTGTACCACGCAAGGTGTTCCCTCTTCTGCACAGATCTGGTCTGACGTCAAGGACCAGGAGTTCGAATCCCATCCCTAACATGACTGCAATCACCTCAGAAATGGTTACATTCCCGAAAGGTCACTTGTTTGTAAAAATCCGCACACTTGTGTATCAGACAGTTTCTTCCCTTCTCCCCCACTGAGGATGAAAACACACAAACATAGAATCGAACAGAAACAACTCGGTATTCCTCACCTGAACACAAACGCCAGTCTCCTAAATATTTAATAAAATAAATTACAGTCCACAGTATTCTAGTGAAGATAAATACAAGAGTAAATGTTTGCAGTTTAGCATCAACTTCACTTTAAAGGCTTAAAATATTTTATATTTAAATAAGAGAAACTGATTCAACATTCTGTGCTTCCACACCCTCTGACCCACTGTCTATCAAAGATGGAGAGCAGTATTCTAGCATTCCAGCAATCAGAGACAGCTAGTCTAGGGTTAGTTCACTCTGAGATAAACTCTTAGGTTATACCAAGAACATAAATGTTCACAAATTAAAATGCTTCAGGTCCTCAAATGGGAAGTGTGCTTTTGCTCCAGACAGAATCTTTGGGTGCTTCTTCTAATAAAAGCTAAATTCCAATCAATTTTCTAGTTGCTGATTCGTTCTCCAAGCAGAATTCCAAGTTGAGACCGAGTATCCACATAACTCCTGAACTGTGTAATGTGAGCTTGCCCTTCCCCACTTGCATGGGGTGGCATTTTAGAAAGCTGCTTTAAAAAATAACATCTGATGGTATAAGTCCACATGACCAACCAATCGTTCAACTTTGTATGAAGCGTAAACACATCTATTCTTACCAAGAAGCAAAGGAATAATTTAGGGAGAGTTTCATTTTGAATTCCAAAATCATGGGGGGTGGGGGGCGGGAAATAATCCAACATGGTGATTTCTAGATATGACCAGCCAGTCTTTTAAAAGTAATTCTGTAAACAGCAGCATAAATACCTCCCAACGTACCTTCCAAGCCTTCTCAGTTAAACTTGTGTTTCTGGTGCACATGCGACACGACAGTGAACACGCTAGCATTTAATTTAAAGAAAAAGGTGCAAAATGAAAGTGCCTTATCAATTCAACAGGAAAAGCTACACCAGTAACTACATTTTATATTAATTAAAACAATATATAAACAATATCTCTTTTAGCTATATATAGTCTTCATGCCCATTTACCCTGTAATATATTATAATGCTATTGTTGCTAAGTGCTATGGACCCTTTTCATGCCGTCCTGCTGACTGGCAATAATCGGTGAAAAAATAAAAACTTCCTTCATGAAACAAAGAGCAAGTTGTGCAAGGTAATGGCGCAACCTCCGCTATGCACACCAGACACCGATTATTGCTGGACTCTCTGTAACTGACAGATTGGTGACTCTGGAAAGTCTGTGGGCAGTGAGCTACAAGAAAAGGAAATCCTCCGACTTTAGTACCCTCCTCCTGTGGTAAACAGAGGTCAACGATCAGGAAGTCGAGACAGAAAAAGGGTCCATATCTGTAGGCATAATGGAAATCATATGCATGAGAAAAACAAGTTCAACTTTTATTTGTTTTCATTGTTTCCCCTCCTTTGCCTGACCCCGATCACCAAAAGATGTGCAGTGTGCTGACGCCCCAGGTCTGTGCAGGGCCATATAAAGTGTCTTGGTTAATTGGTTTGTTTTTCTTGTTTGTACTTCTGACATTCTAGAAGTGCGTAGGTGATACATTTACCCATCAATTTGCATTGCTGGCTCAAATTCTGAAGTGAACAACTCCTTGTATAATGGAGGAAAATGAAGTCGCACAATGTCTGGGTATATTGCTTTAAATGCCATTAGCTTTTCCGTATGTCGTCCACATAAGGCTCTTAACGTAGACACCTTGCATATCAACTGTAAGTGGGAGAGAGAACATGTGGTCAGGAGAGAATGGCATGAGAATGAAACGCAGGCGAGTCAGGATGAGCTGGACCACGTGGTCTGTAATAGTGAAACACACCTGAAGAAACAAACTTCCAGTACTAGAAAATGGCTAAAAATACAGAATGGCATGGCTAAGGGGCTCCCACATGGCCGACTGTGTGGTTCCAGTACCAGACACAGTGGCATGAAATTCACGCTGGGCAGTTATGTGTGCATGCCTAAAAACCCATGAGGAAAATGGACGAGAAGGGATTGTGGCATGGCCCTCTCTCTTAAGGGATGACTTCTCACTATCTCTCTTTGTCTCTCTGGCAAGTGCATGTGCTCTCTAGCAAAAACCATTAAAAAAAAAATGATGTAGTCCTAGCTAGGATACTAGGTATAGATTAAAGTTGAATTTGAAGAGGGGCTGGCAGGTGGCATGGTGGTTAAGGGCACTGGCTTCCCACATGGTCGACCACAGTACAAGTCCTGGACCTGGCGGCTTGCTTTCTCACTTTGTCTCTCTCTTTCTCTCTCCCTCTCTCTCTCTCCCCTTCCCGCTCTGGTCAAATATAAATAAATAAATAAGTAAAGTTAAATAAAATAATTCTTTAAAAAAAGTTGATTTGGAAGATAAATAATTTAATGACCCGAAAAGATATGCATAAGCAAGTGTTGGCACAGCTTGTGAGTGGTACATTTTGGGGAAGAACCCAAGACTCTCCTCTCCTATTCCAAGATGCTTTCTGCTAAGATCTCCAACCCTGGCCTCCACCGCTGTACAAAGAGGAGGTCTGGAGATGGAGAAATGGGCGAGGGGGCGTTCACGGGTAGTGGTGGCACCACAGCACATTTCATGCAGAACGAATACTGGTCAACTCCAGTGACAAGTTTCTCAATAAGGACTTTTCTTCTGACAAAGTGATTGTGGGTTCAGGCAAAAGAATGGAATCACAGGCCTGGATGGGAGGCCCAGCACTGACCACTTAGCAGTAGTGGGTCACAATGCAATGAGCAAAAATGCTTTTAAATTTTAAAGCACTACCCAAAGGCAAAGTACTTGTTATTTCAACCCAAAATAATCTTATATAGGAGTACTTTTTACCAGATACTGTCCATGATTTAGGGACTACAACTAATACCCTTGCATTTGGGGGAGAAGATGGAGAAGGGAGGCAAACTCCTGACACCTGCTCTCTCTCCCCTGCTGCCCCATCATTCATTTGACACATGTATAATCAAAAACAGAACAGCAATTAGCAGGCTGGTCTGGTCGCCTAGTGGTTAAGGAAGCTGGATTCCCACATGATTGACTTCTGAATTCTAGCCCTGGAAGTTTGAAAAAAAAAAAAAAAACGCCCACTGCATATGTGTGCATGCCCCAGAGCCTGACAGGATGGACAACTGGAGGAGAAGGGGTCGTGGCATGACCATGTCCCACAGTGGGGCACTTTCTCCCTCTCCCTCTCTGTTTCTCTATAGAGAACACAGGTGCTCTTTAGCAATAATGATAATAAAAAACCCTAAAGCAGGAATTAGCCCCAATTTCCTTTTTCTGATCTAACCTTACTATCAGGAAGAAAGAAAACCAAAAACCTTTCAACTCTTCCTCTTGCACAATAAAACACATAACCTAAGAAATCCTGCTGCCCCATCATTCATTTGACACATGTATAATCAAAAACAGAACAGCAATTAGCAGGCTGGTCTGGTCGCCTAGTGGTTAAGGAAGCTGGATTCCCACATGATTGACTTCTGAATTCTAGCCCTGGGAGTTTGAAAAAAAAAAAAAAAAACGCCCACTGCATATGTGTGCATGCCCCAGAGCCTGACAGGATGGACAACTGGAGGAGAAGGGGTCGTGGCATGACCATGTCCCACAGTGGGGCACTTTCTCCCTCTCCCTCTCTGTTTCTCTATAGAGAACACAGGTGCTCTTTAGCAATAATGATAATAAAAAACCCTAAAGCAGGAATTAGCCCCAATTTCCTTTTTCTGATCTAACCTTACTATCAGGAAGAAAGAAAACCAAAAACCTTTCAACTCTTCCTCTTGCACAATAAAACACATAACCTAAGAAATAACAGGGGAGAGTTTCTAAAATCAAAATATATACCGCTAGCACTAGCACCGAAAGACATTAGCATATTTTAAATTGACACCCTCATTATATTTCTATTGTGAAAGATAATAATTAGCAAAAATGAAACCATATGCTTTGAATACAGGATAGTAATAAAAATTTATGAAGAAAATACAGAACCCATTTGCTATTGATTAATAATGGATCTAATGGGAAGAGCACTAATAGTAGAATATATGGTTTTCCTGATGAACTCTTTCAGTCCGTTTACCTTCCTCTTTCTGAATTCAAAAATTCTTTTTCTAATTTAAAGCAATGAAGAACATCAGCTCTGCTTTAATACTCAACCTTCCTAGAATAGGATTTTCAGGGTGTATTCATGCTTAAAATATTTCTTCTACAATTGGCCTATTGTCATAGGACATTTTATAATAAATGATAATACACAGAATTTAGCCTGAGTGAGTTTTGGTCCAACATAATTCTTTGAAGTGAACATTTCCTTCTTTAAGTAGCCTGTTGTTTATGCTGGTTTTGAGGCCTGGTTATGTGACATAAAGGCAGCTGGCAGCATGGTCTGTACCGTGAAGGGGAATTCAGGTCATGCCCCCCGGAAACCTCTGGCTCTCACCTTCGTCAGTATCCCATCTTCTCGGTGATTCTTCTGGAGGACGTGTTGAAGAGCTAGTTGAATTTTCTGTTGCAGTTTTTCAATTTTTACCTTTTCCTGTAGCCATGAGCGATCTAGACATGAAAAACAATACTCCTTAGCATTCTTCCCATGTAGTCAGAACCCCCCTCCTCCTGATTCTGAGCTAGAGATTATTGTATTATAATGTATATTTAGAGACTCACAGGCCAGTATTACTCCTTTTACAAAATATGCTCCTAAAGGAGTAGAAAAGTGACCTAAGACAGTTATAAAAGTGGGTGTTAAACCTTTCTCTTTTCCTTGATGTTTAAAGGAAGGGAGGATCCTCCCCTTCCAAAGGAGACGCATTGAAATTTAAGATCTTACTTATGTGAATGCAAATGAAACCACCATAGCTATCCAAGCTTTTCTAATAATTACATTTCTCAATGAAATATATAAATGAATTAATATAAATCCTTTGAAAAGTATTAAAATTGCCTTATAATCTAACACAAGAAAGAATGTCAGTACAATTCCAAGTGACTTAAGGGTTATTAGTTTAGGATAGTCTTTTCTTTCTTAAATTCACACATACTAATTGTACATATTTATGGGGTGTAGTGATTTTTTTTTGGTACATGAGTTCAATGTGTAATGATCAAATCAAGGTGATTGGCATATCCATCATCTCAGACAGTTACCATTACTTGAGAATGTTCAAAATCCACTCTTTCAGCTCTTCTGAAACACACATATTATTGTTGACTAGTGTCACCCTACTGTGCTGCAGAACACTCGAACGTAAGCCTCTTGTCTGACTGTAATTTTGCATCCCTTATCCAACAATACTCTATCCCTTCCTCCCCGCAACCCTTCTTAGCCTCTGGTAATCACTACCGCTCTCAACTTCTGTGGGGTCAACTTTTTTAGTTTCCATGTTCAACAGAGATGATGTGACTTTTCTTTTTCAGTGCCTGGGTTATTTCACTTAGTCTAATGTCCTTCAGGCTTCTCCATGTTGCCTTGAATGACAGGGTTTTATTCTTAATGGCGAAGTAGTAGTCCATTGAGTGTACGTGTATGCATGGGTATCTGTTCATCTGTGGATGGACACGTACGGTGATTCCACATCTTGGCCGGTATTAATAGGGTTACAATAAATACTGCAGTTCAGATCTCTCTACAAAATATACTCATTTCCTTTCCTTTGGGTTTGTGCCAACGAAGAATTACTAGATCATAGGGCAGTTCTATTTTTAGCTTTCTGAGGAACCTTCATACTGTTTTCCACAATGGCTGTACTAACTTACATTCCCACCTACAGCATGAGAGTTCTCTCCCCTTTCCTCAGCATACGATAAGGTCTTTATGTGTAAGCATTCCACATGGAAGACAGAGTGTCACTTCAGCAGCACGTATGCAAAACAGAAAATGGCCAATTGGTGAAAATGATTAGCCCCCAAAAGTAGTACTGGTTGAAAACAAAGATTAAATTCAGATAAACTTGTGGATAATGTCTACATGGACTTTACGAGAAAGTAGGCTGCCTTAAAAATCAGGTTAAGAAAGGCAGCCCTACTGTGCCATAGCGTTTCTCTTGGCATCAGAAGGTTTTATTCAATTCTTATTTCTTAAGAATGTAGCTGAAAGGGATGAGGTCTTAAAAGAGTGTCTATGTGTGTTAGCTGGAAACTTGAAATGAGATTGAATAAGGATGGCAGACTCTCTTGGTAGACCCCCAATATTTTATAGTCACTAAGAGTTATGCATGTTGTACAAATTCTTCACATGGACACTTTTTAAACCATTATATTTTTATGTGGTTACCTTACCTGCTGACATCAGTACAAATGCAGAAAATAATGCAATTTCATCTTCGGTCAGGTGCATAGAACATAAACTTTTTCCAAATTCAAACACAAAGCTAATAAAGTCTTCACAACCTGCCAGAATGAAAATAAAGACACTTTAGGGTTTTGGTAGGAGAAAAATAAGGAAGAAGGTAAAGAGGGATCTGATGGTTGAAGATCAGCAGGACGCTAATAATATTTTACAGTTTAATAGTTTGAACTTTTTTTTTTTTTTTAGAGGTTTTTGCTATAGGGTGCGTGCACTTGCCAGAAAGACAGAGAGACAGAAAGCGAGAAATCACCCTCAGGGGGGATGGCCACGCCGCAATCCCTTCTCCTCCATTCTCCTCTCGGGATCTTGGGCACACACACACATGCGCCAGGCGTGAGTTTATCTGGGACCTGAACCGCGGTTGACTACATGGGAGTCCAGCGACATAGCCATTACGCCAACTGCTGGCCCCAATAGTTTGAACTCTTAAGAGAAAAATCTGCTTAGCCAACATTACCAGCACCATCACCATCCTTCAAAATAACAGAAGTGAACTTTTGTGGAGTGACTGCTGTGCCAAGTCCTCTGTGAAATAGCTCCTTGGGACCCTCCTATTTCACAGCAGCCTTAGGAGGGAGGGACCACTATGTTCATCCCCCCCTGTAGGGTGTACCGAAGGTCACACAGGCAGGAAGTGATGCACCGCTGGGCTGCCTGACTTCAGAGCCCACACTGAACCAACAGGGCCTAACAGTGCCAATCTAACTGAAATGTTACATTCACTTCTTTTTGTGTTCTACTGTTTTCTCTAAAGCACCCTTAAAAAAAGGTGAGCAAATGACTACTGTGGCAGTAAAAGCATTAACAACTATTTACTGAACTAAAAATGGAGACTGTGAAGGTCCTCTAAATTATCTCTGAAAGACTGGTTAAGGTCTGTTCTTGTTGATTTGCATATTATGTATATCTATTTTAATGGAAATGGGCCATACTTAACTATACATACCTTCTGTCAGTTAGCTTTTGGGAAAATCTGTCTCTTTTTAAAGAAAATGATCATTTCCATATAATTGTGCATCTTTGTGGCGGGTACGGTGTGGATTTTGAAAGCGTGCATTCAGTGTGTAGCAATCAAATCAAGGACTTGAACATATTCGTCATCTTCAACAAAGAGCATTACATTGTGTCCTGCACCTTGGACAGTCAGGCTCCAAGGGCTTCTCTTTGGAGATGCAGACTAGACGGGCCGAGCCCTTTCTCGCTCCCTTGCGGTGTACCACTCCATAACCTATTTGCTTTGTTCACATGCCCTCTCGCGTCTGCTGATCATTTTTCCCCCAACCCCTTCTGCCTCCCCAATAAAGTCATTGGTACTTAAAAAAAAAACAAACAAACTTAATAACATATCATGAAGACTTTTTCATTCTTCTTACTATGTTCCACTTTATTTAAATGATAGAAATCCAAAATAATTATAAGTATATGCCATAGTTTCAGGGATATATGTTTTATTTTTTTGATATCTACATTTCCTTTTCATTAATGGTTATGTGAAGGGTATGGCAGGAAAGACTTACTGTTTTTGTTTTTTTGCCATAGGGTGTGTATACTCACCGGAGACAGACAGAGAGAGGGAAAGTGAGAAATCATCCACCAGGAGGGATGGCCATGCCACAGTCCCTTCTCCTCCATTCTCCGGGGCGTGTACACATACACGTCCAGCGTGATTTTCAACCCACCAGGTCTGAGAATCGAACTCCTGTAGGCCATGTGGGAACTCAGTACCTTAGCCACCATACTACCTGCTGGCCCATAGACTTCTTGTTCTCATTTTATATAGCAAATCACATTATCTAAGTTACCTGAATGTATATTCCTTGCAAATCTGGTTGCTTAAAATCTAGACGGGAACTACAAGAAAATACGTCTTTTTGATTACCACCTGGATAAACTAGAACTCCACATCTTTACATGTACTGGCATTTGGGCTCTGTGAATTATCTACAGTGACTAATTAGAAAGGCAAATAACTTAAAATCCTTTATGCTTTGTTTCTAAATAAGATGTTTCCATTTTGTCCCGTTAGAGCTTTCACCCAAATCACATCTTTTCCTGTGGCCCCAGAAAGGCGCCTGGAGATTTCCTCACCTAAGGATTTGAAGACATCGGGGCTAGCATACTTCCCATCAAAGTACACGGTGTTGTTCTGAGAGTCGAAGGCACGGCACATTCTGATAAACACCACCTCTAGAGAACCTAAGCAGAGGCAGAAATGGATGGGGTCATTTGATGTTAGCGAGTTGATTTCTAAGGTGCTAACGTAGATGGCCCCCCTTTTTCTTTTCTGAGAGAGAGATTTTTGCTATAGGGCGTGTGTGCTTGCCAGAGAGACAGAAAGCAAGAAATCATCCCTGGGGTATGGCCATGCTGCAATCCCTTCTCCATTTTCCTTTTGGGATTTTGGGTGCACTCACATGTGCGCCCGTGTGCATACACACATACACACACACACACACACACACACACACGGTGTGAGTTTTAAGCCACCAGGTCTGGGACTCAACTACATGGGAGTCCAGTGATATAACCATTATGCCATCTGCTGGTCCCGTAGATGCCCCTTTCTGAGACAGCACAGTGGGTGTCGTGTGTGACCCAGACTGTCAGTCACAGTGGTCCCTCAAGAGGGAAGAGCTCACTGCAGTAATGAGACTGTTGTGTGAAGCGAAGGCCTAACTGAAGCCAAGACTGATTTGCAAAGTGCTTCCTTGGCATTCTTCTCCTTAAAATGCAGAGTCTCAAAGTTGCTAGGAAAACATTTATCCATACTTACTAAAACAAAAAACAAAAACAAAAACCAGGATGTCTCTCTGGGTTCCACAACCTTTTTCCTAACAACTTTCCATGAACTTCCGAATACCTGGAGTGTAGACACTAAATACAGGTACTGGAGCAGTGTGGGGAGGGCAGGTGGCCTTCCAACTAATCTCTTCACCCAGAGGAGAGGCAAAATGGAGGGAATGTTTCCTGAACAGAGCTCCAAAATCTTTTTTAAAAATTCAATTTCTGCTTAGAAAAATCTGAGCTATTATCTTTGGAGAAAAACTGTTCCCGACACCTTCCTTACCAAGCATTTCTCTAATAAGCAGGTGAAAGCAGGTTAGGACGAGATCTCGAAATTCACTTGCAAAGCACATACCTGCTTTTAGAAGCACAATTTGATCGTTTTGACACAGTTCCATAAATCCGTCAATGCGCTTGGCAAACTCCACCACGTACTGTATAGCTTCTGTGATTTTGATGGCGCACAATTGCCACATCACCTCCCGCTGCTGTAAAAGGGGGAACCTCGTTAACGGGCACGGTTTCCCCAACACCCCCGGCACAGTCGATCTGACAGTTCCTATTTTGTAAAAATCCTTCTTTGGAAATGAATTTAAGAAATCTAGACAATTAAACAATACACAGTTGCCTGTTTATTTGGGTTATAACGATTGCTGCCTTTCTCATCTCCTCTAATTCCTTTCTTACCGTTTTGGTGACAAAGGGACAGGAAGGAAAAGCTTATACAGAAGCTGAAGAGTCAGGAAAGCAACACATGCTACTGTGTTAGCCCCAGACCGTGGAGAATAGTGAAGTGGGATCTTTGAAGCAATGGATTTACTCTGGGAAATTCAGTAAGACTTTACTTGGGGAAGGGAAGGACTTGGGAGTCAATTAAATTTACACTACACCTACGGTAAGCTAGGTGCTTTATGATAATTTTGTCTTATTTCATTTTTGTAAGAACATTTTTCTATGTACACCAAAACTCAGGTTCCTCAGCCAGTAGGGATAGGACCTGAGATCTCAATCTAAGCCCCTCTGAGTCTGAAGTCCCCTTCTGTCTGCCTCACTGCTACTTCCTACCTTCTTTGGCTTCTCCTTCATGGCTTTGGCTTGGTGTGACCTGCTCTCTTAAAGGCAAAGTGTCATGCTGTCATTCTTCTACTTGTCCTGTGGAATTCCTTTTGTACAGTCATCCTGCACTCAAGTTACGGGTGACCTAGAGGTGTTGCGTTGTTCATGCATTTCCCCAACCTGAACCTAGGGCTATTTCCACCAGTGCAATGGGGTTGGGATGGGAGAAACACTGCGTTAAGTCAGGAGTCATGGTCTGGTCCTGATGTTTTCCCTCTCCAGTGGTAGGCCAAGTCATCCTTGTTTCCTCATATGTGAAACGGGGAGGAGGATCAATCTGGATCCTCTCCATGGTCCCTTCCAAGCCTGAGTTTCGGGGATGACTGGAAAAACCCACAACATTTTCTTTTACCAAAGTCAGTATGAATCAAAGTTCTCCATCTCTAGCTTGCCCTCCTACGTGGGTGGCTTGTTGATCAGAGCGTTTTCTAGAAAAAAGCAATAAGCTGCACCGTTTGTCTGTCTCATATCACTAGGTCCAAACTGGAGTTACGGTCATAGCTCCCACACCTTGTTTTTGAACACACACTCTGTATTCCTTGGTAAGCTCAGAACATGAGGCTCGCGGTGTTTTCTACCAACTTCCAGACCTTTAAATCTCTTATTGTGACAAAGCCCAACTCATGTAGTCATTTAGAAGCTACTTCATCTAGTCCCCTGCTGACAAACAAACGGAGAGATGTGTGTGCTGACGAAGCACAGAACAGTTTGTTTCCCATCACTGAAATTCGGCATGCTGGCATCTCGGTACATACTAAAGCCTCAAGCTTATGAGCAACTCTGGAAGGAAGGTTTTTAAACCAATCCAGTATCTGATGAAAGACATGTGTTCTTGTCTGTCTGAACCCTTGGCCAAATCTTTTGCACGAATACCCCTCCCAACGTGGACTCGATCCGAGGAGAAAGCCCTCAGACTGTACCTTGTTTTGATAGTTCTCAATCTCCTCCTGCAGAAAAGTCTGCCACGTTATCTGCTGGAGCTCTTCTCTCAAGTACTGGCAGGTTTCCAGATGGGACTTAGATATATTCTGTGCGAGGTGTTCTATGGAGAAAACAGGAGACCACAAACATCAAAAGCCAGATTCTTTCTTGGATGATCAGTGGTTCCCTTGTTTGGAATGTGCTTTAAAAAAGAACAAGTATAAAACAGTGTGTTGAACTAGTTCAGATGATCTTTCCACAGTTGAACAAACAGCTCGGAATGATTCTGTACCTGAGCGCGTGAAGATGGAGGACAGGGACTATACCAAGCCAACATTTCAAGATAAGGCTTGGTGACTGCAAAGATTCTCCTGGCCGTTACATCAGTGTCAGGTCATGAACAAACACGGACTTCGACAGCTACGGGAAATAGTGGACCTGGCATCTTCTCGGCATCATGGTGAGGGCAACTGTCATACACGGACCTGAAAAGGCTTACTCTTGGAAGACCAGGAGATGACCAAGGGCTTACCTTGGTATTACATATAGTGTAGTTCTTTTTAAAAATTTTTAAAAGCAATTACTTAATTGTACTCATTATCATTATTTTTTTAATTTGACCAGAGAGAGATGGAAAGGAAGAAAGCAAGCCACCAGGTCCGGGACTCAAATCACAGTTGGCCATGAGGGAGTCCAGCACCTTAACCACCAGGCCACCTGCAGGCCTCTATAGTGTAGTTCTCAAGAGAGAGACTCTATGGCTATGTCGCTGGACTCCCACGTAGTCGACTGCGGTTCGCATCCCAGACCCGGTGGCTTAAAACGCCGGGCGCGTGTGCATGCATGCCCAAGATCCTGAGAGGAGAATGGAGGAGAAGGGATTGCGGCGTGACCATCCCCCCTGGGGGGTGATTTCTCGCTTTCTATCTCTCTGTCTCTCTCTGTCTGTCTGGCGAGCGCACGCGCCCTATAGCGAAAACCTCTCCAAAAAAAAAAAAAAGAGAGAGAGACTCTGACCCCGCTGTGGTGACACACAAACAGCACCACCGCTTGGGAGGCTAGAAGCTACACGGGAGGCACAGGTTTGGTCCCTGGCCCAACCAGCTCGTACCTGGACTACCTACCTGGGAGAACTGAGACAAGGTGAGACCTGTCCAAAACACCTACGTCTGCCTCTCTCTCCCTCCCTCTCTCCCTCCCTCCCTCCGTTTTCCTTTGTCCTCCCCTCTATGTCTTTCTTTTTAAAAAATGAGAGACAGACAGACAGATCTGGAGCTAGGTTTCCTGGGTTTGTAGCCTACTTACACTGTTTCCTAGCTGTGAGATCTTGGGAATGTTATGGAAACTCATGTGTGGTTTCCTCACTCTAAACTGAGGGAAATGGTACTGATATCGTGGGGCTGCTGTGAGGATGACACAAGCTGAGCACCTAGAAGATGGAGGGTTACAGGACTTGTGCATTGTAAGTGTCAGTGACTATTCTACCTGGGTGTCGAGAGTTTGAAGGTAGTACAGTGATGCCCAACAAGCTTTCTCTAGGAATTTATCATCGAAAATATATCATTTTCTCTAGGAATTTCTATATAGACATGCATGGACACAATGGCAGGACAATTCAGGACAATAAAGTCGAATGGCATCAGAAAAGAAAGAGAAAGATCGTTGCTTTCAGGAAGGGGAGAGGTTAATGTTGATTTGGTGGAATTAGGAGGTGCTTCCTGGTGGAAAAACATTGGCATTAGAGCCTGAAGGGTGCGTAGGATCGAGAGCCAGAGGTGAGAGGTGTCAGGAGGGACAGTGAGTGAAAGAACAAATATGTCATTTACAGAGGGCAGGTAGATGTGACCAAATGACTGTATCAAAACAGAGTAAGGGACCAGCAGTTAGCGTAATGGCTATGTTGCTGAACTCCCATGTAGGTGACCGCAGTTCGTGTCCCAGACCTGATGGCTTAAACTCATGCCGGGCACTTGTGTGTGCGTGCCCAAGATCTCAAGAGGAGAATGGAGGAGAAGGGAGGGCGGTGTGGCCATCCTCCCGGGGGGGGGGGTGTATTTCTCACTTTCTATCTCTCTGTCTCTCCCGGCTTTTCCAACTGCCACTGAAACAACAAACAATGCAACACAAGTGAGCACACGCGCCCCATAGCAAAAACCTCTCAAAAAACAAAAAACAAAAAAACCCAAAAAACAGAATAGTAGGTAAGCATAAAAGTGTAAATCCTGGAGCTTCTTGAACATCAGGGTTGGGTTTGGACTTGATGTAACAGAAGGAATCAGGAAGCAGATTCTCAAGGGAGACTGACATATTGAAATTTGTACTGGGGGAAATCGGATGAGCAGTTTTGTGCCTGGGGACCGGCCAGAATCTGGATTTGGTGAGAGACTTAAGAGCGTGGAGCAGGATGGTAATAATAGTTGTGACAGAAGGGGAGAGTGATTAAAGAAGTATTTCAAAAAGAATTGACAAGATACTGTGACTACGAAAGCATGCCAAAAAATGACCCCATGTGAGAGTCTGGAGAATAGAATAAGCAAGCCGTTTAAAAGAATGTTGCTGAATGGAAAGTGACAACAGGAGTAAGAGTGTCTGTTTGTTTGGAAATGTGTTACTGCTTGCCTCAAACAGACCCAGACTTGTTTGTGTGAAAACAGAGCAGGTTCACCTAAATGGAGCTTGAAACTAGAATCTCCCTAGAGACACTGAAATACAACAAACCTTAACTGCCTTACTTGACAACACACAGACCAAAACCAGCATAAATAAATAACAAAAAAAAAAATTAAAACATGAACAAGAGAAAAAAATTTAAAGGAAAGAAAGAGACAGAAAGAACTAAAGAGGGAGAAGACAGTACGTCATACACGTTAGAATCAACCAACGACACTTGTGAAGAGGGGAGAAAAGGCCAGCATAATGGGGAGTCAGAAACAAGGGCACGCACACACAAATAAGGCAGTCACCCATCTCCTATGACAACAGATCTTACTATGTAATATAGGTTCTAGACTGTAAGTCCATTTTGCAGATATGAAAAAAAAAATGAAGATGTTCACAGGAAGTAGGGGCGGTTCCTGAGGAGTGAAAAACGGGAAATAACTCCTAACATTCTCTTCCAGGTTATGTGTCTCTTCTAGTTAATTTGGTCAGCATCTTGTTTGACTTAAATCCCAAATAAATGCTGCCCCCTTATCCCTATGCGTGGGCCCGGCTTTGGCAACTGCCAGTGACTCAACAAACAATGCAACGCACATGACATACCAGTAGAGGGCAGTGGCTGCATTCCCACCAACTGTTCCCCAACCGTCTTTCAATTCACAGTGGATCTGGCAAGCGTAAGATTTTCGACACTTTGCTATTTTTAAATCTCCATCCCAGCAAAGGAGAATATGGACAGACGGAATATATTTAAGAAGTTAGTGTGGTCTCTCAGACACTGTCTGGAATAGTGAAATACCTTGGAGCTCGGCATGAGGAAACCTGCTTCCTGGCCTGAGCTCGGCAGCTGCCCAGCCCACTGGGGGGCTGAGGCTGGGGCAGGTTCGGTTCCCCAGTCCAGCGGCGGCTGCCTCCTCAGTGCAGGCAGGCTGTCACACTTCACCTGGGAAAGCTGGCTGCTGTGTTGGTCACCGCATTTCATGATGGGAACCTGAGCCCTCCTCTGGTCCAAACTCTCATTTTACAGTCACGTTAGAATGACAGGGACAGCTAGTGCTTACGTCACACGTACTCTGTGCCACCCGTGAATTTATGTGTATTCTGGAAAATATACACACATGCATATATTTAGGTTGTCGGAAAAGTCATGACGTGTTTTTCTAAGCAAAAAATGAGTCATGACTTTTCCGACAGCCAAATATATGCGTATGTATCTCACTTCGTTTTCATGCTAGCCCCTAGGAGAAAGGTCACTTGATCACTTTTAGATGAACTTGTTTCCCTAGATGAGGAAACTGAGCCACAGTGAGGTGAAGTGACTGCCCCACGGTGTCACAGCTGGCAAGTGTCAGAGCTGTGGTTCAAGACCATGCTGGCTCCAGAATCTGGGTTCTTCCCCTGTGTATTCTGTGGGTGGGGGTGACTACAGCTTGCGGAGGTCACGTGACTTCTGAGCTGTGCAGGGGCAGCAAGGCTGAGGCGGCCACCAGGCTAGGCTGACTTCTTGCCTGCGCTCTGCCCAGGGCATCAGCCATCTCTCCTGCAGGGTGCTTTAGCTGTCCTCGGCAGTGACAAACAGGGTTAGTGCTTTTCTTTGTAATGAACACCGTTTATCTGGTCGGGGGCACTATTTCCACTAAAAACAACGGATAGTGGATGCGGTTATTGAAAGACAGGCACAGAATTAGGCTATGTTCATTGGTAATTTAGTCTCCTGTTGTAGGACTGGCTTTATTTACTTAAAATCTGATGGCAAAATGTAGTCTACAGTGAAAGTCAAGATCCTTGGCTAAAAAAAAAATAGGACTGGGGCCAGTAGGTGGTGTGGTGATTAGGATGCTAGATTCCCACATGGCAGACCATGGTTCGAGTCCCAAACCTGATGGCTTGCTTTCTCGCTTTCCCTAGAAATGTGACATGTCCAGGTCACATCTCTGGTGACTACAACAAATTAAAATAATAATAATAAATAAAATTCAATTCTTAAAATAAATTTGCAGGACTTAAGCCCCAAAGCAAATACCAGGGAACTTAAGACTGCTTTGAGGAAAGAGCTGAAAGTTTTGGGCTGCTTTTACGCGCGCTGTGAGCCCCACAAACCGTTTTTCCCATCTAAGTGGGATAGAAATTAGAGCCCAGTTAGATCTATTCAGATAAGTTCTAGTTTAGTTTTGGATTTGGGAGTACTCCTAGTGATGAGCTAATGCATCCTGGGAAATGCCACAACAGTGTGAAGAATACCAATTTAAAAGAACACAGGCAGTGTGAGGGACATGGCTGCCAGCAGGCCCCGGAGGTGACCATTGTGGAAAAAGCCGATTTGCCTGGGGGTGGGGGTGGGGATCAGCCCAGCCATTTCTGGCCCCTTTGAGGTATTAGCGCAGTTTTAGCAGAAGTACCATGTTCAAGGACAACATTTTGGCTAAGCCCTGCGGATTTATTTCAGGGTCGAACATTTGACAAGCAAATAGGACAGGTTGAGAAGTATTTATGATAAGGTAGAAGCAAGCCTAAAGTGAGTCAGGTCATTTTTCACAGTATCATGTCAGCTTTCAATCAAATCCTTATTCATTTCTGAAAATTTTACTTTCATTACAGCTCTGCTTAAGGCTCAGCCAACCAAGATTTCAGGACAAAAATGGAAGGTTTTTGTTCTAGTTCAAGAAAAAAAAAAAATCAAACCTGCCTCTGCTCAGCTTGGCTTCTAGTTCAAAGGTTTCTCTGTTAATCAAAAGAGCTGAGATACACCTTTAATGCTGTTCAGTGGTTAAAGACTAGGCTTAAAATGTCCCTGCTCCTGAGGATTTAAATTTAGACCCATAAAGAGATGCTTGTGTAAAAACCGTAAAGAACATTCAATTTGTTCTATTTGGAGAAAGATTTTACTGGAAATATAAATTTTCACTTAGATGTTTGATGGGGGTACAGAGGTGGAGAAACCATCTAAAGAACACAGACATTATGTCTGTGAACTGAGGATTTCTGTGCTCAAGTCGGAACCTGCTGGTTTTTCCCATCCAAAGTCTTCGTTCTCTGCCATGTTAACTTAGTCATCTCCACAGCAACTAATTGAAATATCCCAAAGGATTATAACCTTGTGTGAGTCACCAGGAGGAGCAGATCAAATTCTCAAATGCAAAGGTTCTTATCAAAGTTTCTCTAATAATAGTACCATGCTTAAAAATCGATTAAATATAGCAGAGGATGTTAACACAACTTCCTTGAAATGGAAAGTTTTCCACTGTGTGTGTTACCAGCAGTTCTAGGTCACGTCTCCCAAGAAACAGCAAGAAAAAGCAACATCTAGCAATAAGGCAACGACAGTTGTTTCTTTTTTCCTTTTCTATTTTTTTTAAATTTTGGCATGGTGAGCTTTCTATGAAAGACATCAATTTTGTCACCAGTATCCACCATCAAAACATTTTGGCACGTAAAGAAACTGATTTTCGGGGCCAGCAGGTGGCATGGTGGTTAAAGCACTGGACACTCCCACATGGCCAACTACGGTTCAAGTCCTGGACCTAGTGGCTTGCTTTCTCACTTTTCTTCTCTCTGTGTGTCTGTATTTCTCCGGTCAAATGAAAATAAATGAGTGAATAAATAAATAGAAGAAAATAATTCATTTAAGAAAAAAAGAAACTGATTTTCTTTTAACGTTTACAATATAAATGGAAGAAGTGGATGGGCCCATCTACAAATGGTAGCCCTTGAGTGAAGCAGGTTAGTTGTTAATTTCCCAAATGCTGAGCCAATGTAGCTAGATTATTTTTTTTTCTCCCCACAGAACCTGAAAATCTGAAATTTTCATTATACTTGTCCAAGTTTAAATTTTTAACCAGCTAAAATAGTTTATGACTACTTTGGTAAAATAAATAATTACAGTTAAAAATATATATATACATATATATACACATATTGTCCTGAACCTGGCAGCTTGCTTTCTCTCTCGCATGTTCTGTAGCAAATTAAAAAAAATAATAATAATGATAAATAAAATTAAATGACTAATTCCTAATTTTAAAAAAAGCAAAAGCAAGGGGATAGGATGGCATATGAAGTGGCCCAAAGGGGGTTAGGGAGCTGCATTATTATTTTAATCTCATAACCCCTCTAAATTACTTGAAAGGGCACAAGTAGACGTCCCCTTAGAGACTTGCATGCCATTACCTAGTTCAGCCATGGACACAGTTGGGGAAGTCTCTCCGTTGGTGAATGAACAAAGCCGGATGCTGGTGTGTAGTCACATATTGGTTCTGGTTTGATTCCATTGATATCCAGACCTGACTGGTCTGGGGAGGGCTGTATGTCCAGGTAGAAGCTGCTGACAGCAGAGTCTGCCTTATTCCCCTCGGGGGTGTGCCCGTCCATGTAGTTGCTGAGGTCGTCGTGCAGTTCCGTCAGCCCGTTGGCCGAGAGGTTGTAGGTGGGTGTCAGCGGCTCGGCCTCGCCAGGCTGCTGTTGGTGGTCACGCTGCTGCTGCTGCATCCGGTGTTTCTGCACTTCTGCGTACAAGCTGTCTCTCTGCTTTTTCGACATTCGGCCAAATTTTACAGCTGGAAGAGAAAGGCCAAACCATACATATACCGTGTGCCTTTTCCTCCACAGCCTCTCCCGTGTGCTCGAGGATCTCTTTGGAACACTCAGACAAGCTCAACCAAAATCACATGGCCACAAAATAATGGACCTCATCCAGATGTGAAGACAGTCACACCCCCGTGGACTCGAGCCATCTTCCCAGCAGCAAGCACACACCCCGAGAAGCTAGTTTCAGAAGCAGACCCCGGGTAGGCAGGAGAGGCAGGAGCGATGCTCTCTGTTTTCCCACAGTCATACACCGAGGCTCCCTGGGAGCTTCTGAGATGTACCTGGGCTTGGTCCCTCTCTACCCACGCAGCAGGCCTCGACCACCTCCTTCCCTCCCGTGTCCAGGGGTGCGGAGACCCACAGGGCATAAGCAGGTAAGCCTCCAGCTTCATCCAGTTCACCGTGATGCACACTCAAGTGAGGTTCTGGATGAAACAGGATCTGGGGCTTCATTGAGAGGCCTAATCAGACTGCACAAGGGGCCTTGGTGATTTCCCGAGTTGTATCTGAGTCTACCTGACCTAAAAAAAACCCTTCCTGGGGCCGGCAGGTGGCATGGTGGTTAAGGCATTGGACTCCCACATGGCTGACTGTGGTTTTGAGTCCCCAACCTGGTGGATTGCTTTCTCATTTCCCTACTTTTTGTCTCTCTCTGGTCAAATTAAAAAAAAAGAAAAAAGCAATAAAATTAAATAATTTTTTTCTTTTTTTAAATTTTTTTTTTTTTTTGGAGAGGTTTTTTGCTATAGGGCATGTGTGCTCGCCAGACAGACAGAGAGACAGAAAGCGAGAAATCACCCCCCAGGAAGGATGGCCACGCCGCAATCCCTTCTCCTCCATTCTCCTCTTGGGATCTTGGGCACGCACACACATGCGCCTGGCGTGAGTTTAAGCCACTGCGCCCAGGACTCGAGGCATGGTCGACTACGTGGGAGTCCAGCGACATAGCCATTACACTAACTGCTGGTTCCCTTAAATAATTTTTTTAAAGTCCCTTCCTCTACTCATGGGTCATAGCAATCCCTGTGAAACCCTCGGGATAATCTTTCAGTGACTTTTTTTGCTATTCCTGTTTAACCTCAAGTAAAAACATCACCAGGGCTTGGGAAGGGCTAAGGGCTAACGCTGTATAGGGTTCCTGTTGGGGGATTTGTGTTTATAACACACTTCTTGGGGTGTATCCCCATAATTGAAGTAGATCAATGACTAGAACTTTCCATTCATTCCAAATCTCCAGTTATTTCTCCTGAACTACTCAGATAGTTGGGGCTGGGGGGTACCCTATGATTTCTTGGTCTGAATTCTCTCATTAACTCATCTGTTTCTGCTATGCTTTGTGTATACAGACATAGCCTCTGCTGGCGGGGGCTCAGTTCTCCTGAAAGCGGCAAATGTGTAACTGGCAGGGCAGATGAGTTACCCACGTGACCGTCAACACAGTTGTCGTTATGTGAGTCTAGGGCAGGAGGCAGGGGATGGAAAGGAAGTCGGAAGCAAGGCCTCGCACTGACCAGACGGCAGATTATTTTTCGTGCCAAAAAAGAACGTGCAGCCCTTTAGCCTGACAAGTGAGCTGGAGGACTGGTCAATCTTCAGTTTCTCTAACTCACAGGACAACCTTGGGTGGGTGAGTTACACAGCGGTCAGACTGACCCGGGCTCTGAATTTCAGGCCCGTCCATTTATATGCACCCATATTCACTCCAAACCTCCAACTACTTGTGCTATTTCTTACATGCAAAATTTCCAAAAGGCACGCTCGAAGTACTTTTGGAAAAGAATACCCACCCAAGGGCTTAATACCCATAGGTGAAAGTCGTTCAGCTCTTCCTCTGCAAGTGTTTTTTAACTCCTGCCTTCATGTTCACAACAGTAATCAGATCACCTTGTCCGTGAAATAGAAGCACCAGCTCTTTAGAAAATGCACACACAACTTGTGTTTTTAAATTACAAGTGCATAAGAGATATGCCCAACCATGTCAGACTAGTGCTCCTGGAAGATGAAATCGGCCGAGCTACAGGTCACAGGAATCTCGGAGAGTCGGCCTAAGTTCTGTGACGTACCTCCTGACAACACAGGCTTGGTATCTGTGGTGGCCTTTCAGAATATGTAGGAACAAAGACAAACCTAGGCAGAGCCACAGGCCTTAGGAGCTTCTTTTTATGGAGAAGGCAGCCTTCCCAAGAGCCTGCCCTAAAGTATTTTTCCATGGGCTGAAAATCCATTGGAGGAGACGTTTTCCTTCAAAGGGATCGCTTAGCAAAGCCAGCCAGTATATTCACAAAAGCCCTTAAAATGGACCTGCGGTACTTTCTGCCCAGTTTCCATGTGTAAGAATAACTGTCTTGAAATCTGGTGTTGATTATTCAGTGCACTTAAGATAGCTTTCCAGGAAGATCTTGAAATGTTTTGTAATTGAATGGTTGATGGTGTCTATTCCTTTAAATAGCTTCATTTGTTTTTTCCAAAGTCAGGGTCTCACCATGTGTGATCCTCCAGCCTCAGCCTCCCAGATGGGACTAGACAGACCACCTGGCTCCCCCCCTCCCCATTTTTTTTTTTCAAGACAGGGTCTCACTACATTGCCAAGACCAGCCTCAAGCTCACGATCCTCCGGCTTCAGCCTCCCTGAGTTGCTGGAATTACAGGGCACGGTATCACACCCGGTCTTCAGGTTGGACCAGGATCAAACCCGGGCCTTCCATGTGGTTCCAGCCTCTAGAGCATGGTGTTTGAGCAGCATGGACTACCGCGGCTGGGCCTAAAGTAACTATTTTCAGAGAAAAGCACTTTTATCGTTAAGCCTTGCTTTGCACTATTTTCACACATTCTGTATATACAAATATTTGACACGTGATTCAGCATATTTGGTTCACATAAAAGCTACTTCATCCCACTTGCCAGTAAACTTACTAGTGTAAAGCAAGTAACAGTTAATTCTGGCTTGTTTCCTATGGGGAAAATGCCTACAGGAGGTAAATTGATTGAGGCCCTCTGATGGCACTTACCTTCTATCAGTCCGTCCATCTGTAACATCTAAAACATCAAACCTGTGAGGTATTTGGTCAGCAAGACCCTTCTCCTCTCCCCGGCCTCCAATCCCCATCAGCCAGTCTGCTGACTCTGAGGGGTTACGAGAGGAAGCAGCTGCTGTGAGTTCCACAGAGCTGCCTAGGAGCCTGGGGGAGGGCTCGGGAAGGGGGTGTCAGGCACATCTGGGTCCGGGTTTCGGAAAGCACTTCCACAACCACATGCTTCTGTACAACTGAAGCTGTGAGAGCTCACCGTCTCGAGACATCCCTACGGCAAGGCATTTCTGTAATCGACAGTGCTGGCAGCGGTTCCTGCTGGTTCGATCAATCAGACAGTTCTTCTGACGGGGACAGGAGTAGGTGGCATTGCTTTGCTGACTTCTCCTGAAAAAGCCCTGGGATTCAGTTATAAAATATAAAACAGGTTAGTGTCAGCTGGAGTGGTACGTTACTAAAGGCAGTACAGTAAGCATGGAGGGGCATTAATATTTAATGGAGAATTAAACTCGTAGCAGAATCAGCCAGGAGACCATTAATGAAATTAAAGGCACTTTTTTTTTCCTTGAGTAAAATTGATCCCCAGAGCCTAATCCTCTGTCCCTTACACATGCAAAACTTCCTTCCACCTCACAGAGATGGCTGTCTGTAAAAGGTGGTGTTCTCAGCTTCTGAAGATCAAAACCAATACGCTTGATGGAATGAATGAGGGGACTTAAGTATCTTTAACCTTTCTCTCCAGAACATTTTTAGTAAAATACACACAGACATTTCTCTGGGATGTCCCGAGGGAAGGAAAGTGCAGGGAAACGGAGCCACACGGGAACTCCGGGTGCTGCCACTGCAAAGCACAGTGGTAACCTGTACAGCGGAGTTCACTCACTGAGGTGCCTCTCACTCTAGGTCCAGGTCTACTGTCGCAAGCATTTGGATGGCACCTGGTTGGGTTTATTTATTTATTTTTTTCAGATTGGAAATGCCATGTATTCAGAATCAATGGCCTTGGGCCTGCAGATGGCCTGGAGGTTAAGGCAGCTGGAGTCCACATGGTCGACTTCACGGTTAGAGTCCCGCACTCGGCAGCTTTAAAACAGCCCAGGTGTGTGTGTGCCCATGCACTTCTTTAACCCATGCATTATTTAGAAGCATATATTTTTTAAAAGAATTCATTTAACTTCCTTTCTTCCTTCCTTCCCAGATGGGACTAGACAGACCACCTGGCTCCCCCCCTCCCCATTTTTTTTTTTCAAGACAGGGTCTCACTACATTGCCAAGACCAGCCTCAAGCTCACGATCCTCCGGCTTCAGCCTCCCTGAGTTGCTGGAATTACAGGGCACGGTATCACACCCGGTCTTCAGGTTGGACCAGGATCAAACCCGGGCCTTCCATGTGGTTCCAGCCTCTAGAGCATGGTGTTTGAGCAGCATGGACTACCGCGGCTGGGCCTAAAGTAACTATTTTCAGAGAAAAGCACTTTTATCGTTAAGCCTTGCTTTGCACTATTTTCACACATTCTGTATATACAAATATTTGACACGTGATTCAGCATATTTGGTTCACATAAAAGCTACTTCATCCCACTTGCCAGTAAACTTACTAGTGTAAAGCAAGTAACAGTTAATTCTGGCTTGTTTCCTATGGGGAAAATGCCTACAGGAGGTAAATTGATTGAGGCCCTCTGATGGCACTTACCTTCTATCAGTCCGTCCATCTGTAACATCTAAAACATCAAACCTGTGAGGTATTTGGTCAGCAAGACCCTTCTCCTCTCCCCGGCCTCCAATCCCCATCAGCCAGTCTGCTGACTCTGAGGGGTTACGAGAGGAAGCAGCTGCTGTGAGTTCCACAGAGCTGCCTAGGAGCCTGGGGGAGGGCTCGGGAAGGGGGTGTCAGGCACATCTGGGTCCGGGTTTCGGAAAGCACTTCCACAACCACATGCTTCTGTACAACTGAAGCTGTGAGAGCTCACCGTCTCGAGACATCCCTACGGCAAGGCATTTCTGTAATCGACAGTGCTGGCAGCGGTTCCTGCTGGTTCGATCAATCAGACAGTTCTTCTGACGGGGACAGGAGTAGGTGGCATTGCTTTGCTGACTTCTCCTGAAAAAGCCCTGGGATTCAGTTATAAAATATAAAACAGGTTAGTGTCAGCTGGAGTGGTACGTTACTAAAGGCAGTACAGTAAGCATGGAGGGGCATTAATATTTAATGGAGAATTAAACTCGTAGCAGAATCAGCCAGGAGACCATTAATGAAATTAAAGGCACTTTTTTTTTCCTTGAGTAAAATTGATCCCCAGAGCCTAATCCTCTGTCCCTTACACATGCAAAACTTCCTTCCACCTCACAGAGATGGCTGTCTGTAAAAGGTGGTGTTCTCAGCTTCTGAAGATCAAAACCAATACGCTTGATGGAATGAATGAGGGGACTTAAGTATCTTTAACCTTTCTCTCCAGAACATTTTTAGTAAAATACACACAGACATTTCTCTGGGATGTCCCGAGGGAAGGAAAGTGCAGGGAAACGGAGCCACACGGGAACTCCGGGTGCTGCCACTGCAAAGCACAGTGGTAACCTGTACAGCGGAGTTCACTCACTGAGGTGCCTCTCACTCTAGGTCCAGGTCTACTGTCGCAAGCATTTGGATGGCACCTGGTTGGGTTTATTTATTTATTTTTTTCAGATTGGAAATGCCATGTATTCAGAATCAATGGCCTTGGGCCTGCAGATGGCCTGGAGGTTAAGGCAGCTGGAGTCCACATGGTCGACTTCACGGTTAGAGTCCCGCACTCGGCAGCTTTAAAACAGCCCAGGTGTGTGTGTGCCCATGCACGCCCCAAATCCCAAGAGGATAATGGAGAAGGGATTGTGCCATCCTCCCTGGGCGCTGCTTTTTCACTCTATCTCTGTCTCTGTCTCTCACTAGCAAACTCATCAGCCCTATAGCAAACTTTCAAAAAGAAAAAGCCTTTAAGATTGAACATATCCAGTCATGTTCACGGAGTTCTGACGTGTGGAGCAGCGTTTTGGAAATGAGCAGGCATTCCGAGATGCATAAGGAGAATGAGAATTTTATTTCTGTTTGTGAGCTAACTTTGTTGATGTTTTAACTCATTAATTTTCAGTATTTATTCTAAAAGATACGAGTTTTCCTTTTAGTTATATCTTAGCAACCCACAAGCGTTACTACATTGTATTTTTTATTATCATTCATCGAAAACATGTTCTAATTTTCCTTAGATTTTTTTCTTTAACCCATGCATTATTTAGAAGCATATATTTTTTAAAAGAATTCATTTAACTTCCTTTCTTCCTTCCTTCCTTTTGTATTATTTTCCAGTCTGATCAGACAGAGAGACACAGGGAAAGTGCGAAAGCAAGTCACCAGGGTCCAGGACTTGAACCATGGTCGACCATGTGGGATAGTCTAGTGCCTTTAACCACCACGCTATCTGCCTGCCCCTAGAATCGTATTTCTTAATTTTTAGACATATGGGAGTTATTTTGGTTACCACTTTATTGTTGACTTATCTTTCTGTGGCTTTATAAACTAGGAATGTATGCAGAAGAAAAATAAGGTAACCAGAGTCATTTCTATGCAGCAGAGCCCTGAAGTGTATAAGTGAATTGCCATCCTCAAAGCTTTAATGGTGAAGGTAGGGCCCCCAACAAAAGGAGGTCATATTACCCCAACAAAAGGAATACTGATGGAGTGGGAAGAGGTAAAATATCAAAAATATAACAGAGTGACAGGAAAATTGGTAAGAATTCTCTCCCACTCAAAGTTTTGGTAAAAGCCAATTTGGCAGTTCTATCAAAATCATTAAAAACATGTTGATCCATTGAACATTAGATAATTAAAGAAATTATACCTTCAAGGAATATTAGGAATGGTACAAAGATTTACCTACAAGGTATTCTTTTTTTTTTTTTTTTTGAGAGGTTTTCGCTATAGGGCGCGTGCGCTCGCCAGACAGACAGAGACATAGAGACAGAAAGCGAGAAATCACCCCCCAGGGGGGATGGTCACGCCGCAATCCCTTCTCCTCCATTCTCCTCTCGGGATCTTGGGCACGCACGCACACGCGCCTGGCGTGAGATTTAAGCCACCGGGTCCGAGACGCGAACCGCGGTCGATTACGTGGGAGTCCAGCGACATAGCCATTACGCTAACTGCTGGTTCCCCCTACAAGGTATTCTTTATAGCATCATCCATAATATAAAAAATTTGGAAAAAATCTAAATTTTTTGAGTTAAAAAGTCTTATTGTATATCCATACAATAGAAATCTATCAGCCATATAAAATTGGTATTTCAGAAATATAACTACTGAAATAAAAAGATGATAAAAAATATACCGTAGAGGGCCAGCCCATGGTGTCGTGGGTAGAACTGGATTCCACATGGCCAACTACACGTTTTGAGTCCCAGACCCAGAAGCTTGGGGAACACACAGGTGTGTGTGGCCAAAAGCCCAAGAAAAGAAGGGACTACAGCGTGACCACCCCCCGGTGGGTACCCTGTTCACTTTCTCTCACCCCCCCTTTGCATGATATGTAAGTGAATTTTTTAAAAGCAGCTAGAGAACACAATATAATCCAAGCAACAAAAAGGAACTCATATATTTCACAGAAATATTTGGAAAATTCCACCCCTAAATGAAAAGAATTGTTGACTTTGTTTGGTGGGCCACGGGTGATTTTAATTTGTTTCCTTGTGTGTTCTGATTTTTTTTTTTTTTTAACAATATGCAGATAGAAAGGTACGTGAGCTACTTCGGAAAAACAGGATAGTACAAATGCTTTCTTTTGGGATGGTCGGGGATTTGTGGACCAAGCTGATGTATGAAGGGACTTCAGAATGTTCATGGAAAGACAGAAGTATGAGGGGTTTTGTTTGCATGTATACATCAAATTTGAAATCCATGCATAATTTTGCCATAACACTTTTATTTATTTATTTATTTTTTAGATTTTTGTCATAGGGTTTGTGCACTTGCCAGAGAGAGGTACAGACATTGGGACAGTTAGAACCCTCCCTTCCTGCACCCTCAGGACGGATGGCCATGCTGCCAATGCCACAGTTCTTCCTCCTCTATTCTCTCAGGATTTGGGCAATCACACACATGTGGCCGGTGTGTCTTTCAAGCCATTGGGTCCAGGCCTGGAACTGTGGAGTCAGCCATGTGGGATTCAGCGTCTTAAACATCATGCCACCTGCTGGCCCTCATAGTACACGTTTTTCATGAACTTTTCAAAGATCCCTCATATGGAGCATGTAATCTTGGTTCCAGGTAGGGTGGGAGGGTAAAGGACGCTGACCTCTCTCCCCTCTTGCCCTCTGCCAAGCTGCTTCCTAACCTCTTTGCTAACCTGAACACAGCCCACTGTGGGAGGCAAGCAGCCCAGATGGTCTCTTTAT